AGTCTGTCCCTCCCACTGCAGGGTGACACAGACAAAAGGAGCTACGCAGGGTGACACAGACAGAAGGAGCTATGGGACACAGAGTCTCTCCCTCCCGCTGCAGGGTGATCCAGACAAAAGGAGCTATGGGACACGGAGTCTGTCCCTCCCACTGCAGGGTGACACAGACAGAAGGAGCTATGGGACACGAAGTCTGTCCCTCCCACTGCAGGGTGACACAGACAGAACGAGCTATGGGACACACAGTCTGTCCCTCCCACTGCAGGGTGACACAGACAGAACGAGCTATGGGACACACAGTCTGTCCCTCCCACTGCAGGGTGACACAGACAGAAGGAGCTATGGGACACACAGTCTGTCCCTCCCACTGCAGGGGGACACAGACAGAAGGAGCTATGGGACACGGAGTCTGTCCTTCCCACTGCAGGGGTACACAGAGTCTCTCCCTCCTGCTGCAGGGTGACACAGACAGAAGGAGCTATGGGACACGGAGTCTGTCCCTCCCACTGCAGGGTGACAGACAGAAGGGAGCTATGGGACACAGAGTCTCTCCCTCCCACTGCAGGGTGACACAGACAGAAGGAGCTATGGGATACGGAGTCTGTCACTCCCACTGCTGGGTGACACAGACAGAAGGAGCTATGGGACACGGAGTCTGTCCCTCCCACTGCAGGGTGACAGACAGAAGGGAGCTATGGGACACAGAGTCTCTCCCTCCCGCTGCTGGGTGAACCAGACAGAAGGAGCTATGGGACACAGAGTCTGTCCCTCCCGCTGCAGGGTGACACAGACAGAAGGAGCTATGGGACACGGAGTCTGTCCCTCCCACTGCAGGGTGACACAGACAGAAGGAGCTATGGGACACAGAGTCTGTCCCTCCCACTGCAGGGTGACACAGACAGAAGGAGCTATGGGACACGGAGTCTGTCCCTCCCACTGCAGGGTGACACAGACAGAAGGAGCTATGGGACACGGAGTCTGTCCCTCCCACTGCAGGGTGACACAGATAGAAGGAGCCATGGTACACAGAGTCTGTCCATCCCACTGCAGGGTGACACAGACAGAAGGAGCTATGGGACACACAGTCTGTCCCTCCCACTGCAGGGTGACACAGACAGAAGGAGCCATGGTACACAGAGTCATTCCCTCCCACTGAAGGCTGACACAGACAGAAGGAGCCATGGTACACAGAGTCATTCCCTCCCACTGAAGGGTGACACAGACAGAAGGAGCTATGGGACACGGAGTCTGTCCCTCCCACTGCAGGGTGACCCAGACAGAAGGAAACGGGAGCTGTGTTCTGCCCATCTTCTGGTGGTAGATATATTTATAATCTCTGAAAGAAATCTGTAAATCGTTCTCTGTGACTAGTTGGAACTTGTTACTATGAGTAGACTCTTCTTGCATAATACGTTACTGTAAATATTTACCAGTCATAATTGTAACTTCTAGTGTCTAACAAGAGCGTCACTTAATTAAACACCACTTGTGTCTGGTAATTACTTTCACTAGCTAATTCCTGATATTACTGAACAATCCTCAGACTAACATGGGGACAGGTTAAATAACACGGGTAAGGAGAGCGGTGGACCATGAATGGCCCGGGCCGGAATCTGAGCTTCTAGCATGGATGGAGGGGCTATGGGAACTCAAGCCGCTAAAGGGGTATATGGTTCACCAATTCCTTGTATGAAGCCCCTATTCTCTGATGTTTGCTTTTTCCTTATGGATGTTAATTTCATGAATCATTTCAGCAATGAAAATAACATCTCAGGATAGAATCAACTAACAAATTCTATGGACTTCGGCATTGATGAATGGACAGATGGGTGGGCAGGTGGATGGATAGACGGACAGATGTATTGATGGATAAATTAATGGATTGACAAATAAAGTGAATAGACAGACATATGTTTGGTTGGATAGATGGATTGAGGCATAGACGGACGGATGGCTAGATGGAAAGACGTGTGGATTGACTGACAGACAGATGGATAGACTAATGGATGGATAAATAGACCGTTGTATAGGTGGATGGTTAGATGGGTTGATTGACAGGTGGATGGATAGACTGACGGATGGATGAATAGACAGACAGACGTATAGAGGACGGACGGATAGGTGGATGGTTAAAGAACGGATGGATAGACAGACAGATGGATAGACTGATGGATGGATAAATAGACAGACAGTTGTATAGGTGGATGGTTAGACGGATGGGTTGATTGACAGACGGATGGATAGACTGACGGATGGATGAAAAGACGGACAGTTGTAGAGGTGGATGAATAGATGGACAGTTGTAGAGGAGGATGAATAGATGGAGAGTTGTAGAGGTGGATGGTTAGATGGACAGTTGTAGAGGTGGATGAATAGACGGACAGTTGTAGAGGTGGATGAATAGATGGACAGTTGTAGAGGAGGATGAATAGATGGACAGTTGTAGAGGAGGATGAATAGACGGACAGTTGTAGAGGAGGATGAATAGACGGACAGTTGTAGAGGTGGATGAATAGACGGACAGTTGTAGAGGTGGATGAATAGATGGACAGTTGTAGAGGAGGATGAATAGATGGACAGTTGTAGAGGAGGATGAATAGACGGACAGTTGTAGAGGAGGATGAATAGACGGACAGTTGTAGAGGTGGATGAATAGACGGACAGTTGTAGAGGTGGATGAATAGATGGACAGTTGTAGAGGAGGATGAATAGACGGACAGTTGTAGAGGTGGATGAATAGATGGACAGTTGTAGAGGTGGATGAATGGATGGCAGGTGAATGGACTGAGAGATATACAGACAGACAGGCAAGCAATAGATGGACAGACAGTTGTATAGGTGGATGGTTAGACGGATGGGTTGATTGACAGACGGATGGATAGACTGACGGATGGATGAAAAGACGGACAGTTGTAGAGGAGGATGAATAGACGGACAGTTGTAGAGGTGGATGAATAGATGGACAGTTGTAGAGGTGGATGGTTAGATGGACAGTTGTAGAGGAGGATGAATAGACGAACAGTTGTAGAGGTGGATGAATAGATGGACAGTTGTAGAGGTGGATGAATGGATGGCAGGTGAATGGACTGAGAGATATACAGACAGACAGGCAAGCAATAGATGGACAGACAGTTGATCAGAAGTACAGCTAGCTGACATCCCGCTCCCCAGAATAAACTGCTAGCTCTTCCATTCAGAGCCACAGCGAGGGGAACCTGCAGGTTATACTAACCCTTTCATTGCCTTACAGAGGGGTGAATCGTATTCCCTAACCTGCGGAATGCAAGTTTTAATAATCCAGGTATATAGCAGCCTGTGGGGCTTATTACTCTAACTGTCATAAAACGCTGCCATACATGATCTAACCTGTTCCCAGCCCGGAGACCTGACTCCACTACTATGGGGTGGGCTGTATCTCCATCCATAGCTGTGAGGTACAGGAAAAGTGCTGTCTGACTTTCTATGGGAGGCAAGCGGCATCATACATTCACATCACACAGCACGGAGCCACGGTGGAGAATAATTAATAAACAGCAAATGTGGAGCGAACAGAACATTTTAAAATGTATGGGAAGCAGATAAATACCACTAAATGGAAAAAAATTAAATCGTCATCACAACCCTCTTATATATACTCTGTATAACCCTCCTTATACCCCTCCAATCACTCCATATAACCCTCACTATAACTCCTCCTATTACTCCATATAACCCTCCCTAGAACTCCTCCTATTACTCCATATAACCCTCCCTATAACTCCTCCTATTACTCCATATAACCCTCCCTAGAACTCCTCCCATTACTCCATATAACCCTCCCTATAACTCCTCCTATTACTCCATATAACCCTCCCTATAACTTCTCCTATTACTCCATATAACCCTCCCTATAACTTCTCCTATTACTCCATATAACCCTCCTTATACCCCTCTAATGGCTCCATATAACCACCCTATAACTCCTGCTATTACTCTATATAACCTCTCCCCATAACTCCTCCTATTACTCCATATAACCCTCCCTATAACTCCTCCTAATACTCCATATAACCCTCCATATAACTCCTATTACTCCATATAACCCTCCCTATAACTCCTGCTATTACTCCATATAACCCTCCCTATAACTCCTGATATTACACCATATAACCCTCCCTATAACTCCCCCTATTACTCCATATAACCCTCCCTATAACTCCTGCTATTACTCCATATAACCCTTCCTATAATTTCTCCTATTACTCCCTATAACTCCTCCTATTACTCCATCTAACCCTCCTATTACACCATATAACCCTCCATATAAATACACCTATTACTCCATATAACCCTCCCTATAACTCCTGCTATTACTCCATATAACCCTCCCTATAACTCCCCCTATTACTCCATATAACCCTCCCTATAACTCCCCCTATTACTCCATATAACCCTCCCTATAACTCCTGCTATTACTCCATATAACCCTTCCTATAATTTCTCCTATTACTCCCTATAACTCCTCCTATTACTCCATATAACCCACCCTATAACTCCTCCAATTACTCCATTTAACCCTCCCTATAACCCCTCCTATTACTCCATATAACCCTCCCTATAACTCCTCCAATTACTCCCTATAACCCCTCCTATTACTCCATATAACCTCCGTATAACTCCTCCTATTACTCTGTATAACTCCTCCTATTACTGCATATAACCCTCCCTATAACCCCTCCTATTATTCCATATAATCCTCCCTGTAACTCATCCTATTACTCCATATAACCCTCCCTATAACTCCTGATATTATACCATATAACCCTCCCTATAACTCCCCCTATTACTCCATATAACCCTTCCTATAATTTCTCCTATTACTCCTTATAACTCCTCCTATTACTCCATCTAACCCTCCTATTACACCATATAACCCTCCCTATAACTCCCCCTATTACTCCATATAACCCTCCCTATAACTCCTGCTATTACTCCATATAACCCTTCCTATAATTTCTCCTATTACTCCCTATAACTCCTCCTATTACTCCATCTAACCCCTCCTACTACTCCATATAACCCTCCCTATGACTCCTCATATTACTCCATATAACCCTCCCTATAACCCCTCCTATTATTCCATATAATCCTCCCTATAACCCCTCCTATTACTCCATATAACCCACCCTATAACTCCTCCAATTACTCCATATAATCCTCCCTATAACTATTCCTATTACACCATATAACCCTCCCTATAACTCCTCCAATTACTCCCTATAACCCCTCCTATTACTCTGTATAACTCCTCCTATTACTGCATATAACCCTCCCTATAACCCCTCCTATTATTCCATATAATCCTCCCTGTAACTCATCCTATTACTCCATATAACCCTCCCTATAACTCCTTCTATTACTCCATATAACCTCCGTATAACTCCTCCTATTACTCCATATAACCCTCCCTATAACTCCTCCTATTACTCCATATAACCCTCCCTATAACTCCTCCTGTTACTTCATATAACCTCCGTATAACTCCTCCTATTACTCCATATAATCCTCCCTGTAACTCCTCCTATTACTCCATATAACCTCCCTATAACTCCTCCTATTACTCCATATAACCCTTCCTATAACTCCTCCTATTACTCCATATAACCCTCCCTATAACTCCTCCTATTACTCCATATAACCCTTCCTATAACCCCTCTATTACTCCATATAGCCTCTCCTTATAACTCCTCCTAGTACTCCATATAACACTCCCTATAACCCCTCCTATTACTCCATATAACCCTCCCTATAACTCCTCCTATTACTCCATATAACCCTCCCTATAACTCCTCCTATTACTCCATATGACCCTCTCTATAACCCCTCCTATTACTCCATATAACCATCCCTATAACTCCTCCTATTACTCCATATAACTCCTATTACTATTATTCCTTATAACCTCCCTATAATCTGCCATACATTAAGCAATGCTTGTGTCTATTGTACTCTATTCAATAAATTCCTATCAGTTTTGGGATTTTTTTTCCTTGTAGTACATTATATCATTATATGTCATAATTCCCCCACGTGTGTCTATTTCTCTGTGTCAGTCAGGCATCCCCCCACCTCCCCTGCAGAGACTGTAGTTCCTTAACTCTAAACTATATAGTATCATATCCTGGGTGGAGCTTGAAGTTTAGAGAGAAAATTAAGAGAAAAACCGCCCAGCTTGTTTGAGCACACAGGAGGAAGAGGAGAGGGGGGCGAGAGCAGCGTGTTCTAGCAAGCTGTGAAACAAGGCCGTCAGACTGTATGGATAGGGGGCTGACTGCACACTGGGCAGACCATCCAGAAACTCTCCTAATCCATAAACGTTCTCCTACATCGACACCGAGATCAGCCTTCCACCCATAGACTTTCCGACCAGCACACCCAAAGCCATGGTGAAAAGTTATTCTGTTTCAGAGTGCCTCTTGTTTTTAGTAAACTTTCGTTATGTTTTGGTCCAGTGGAATTTTTTAAACATCTGTTGATATTTAAGTTTGGCTTATTTCTGAGGGTCGATAGGTTTGTGACGGTTACCCAGAGACAATGAACTGGAGACATTAAAACGATTCTTGACTTAGCTGGGACATCTTTGGTATAACACGAGTATTGGATAAACGACTTGAATTCATCCACCTTTCTTCTCCTTGACCCATAAGCTGCATCGTAACATGGGGGACCAATGGATCTGGATTGTGTTGCTGGGTCTCCATTTCCTACATGAGGCTGTGTCTATGTCTACCTGTAAGACTGTGGATATGGAGAAGGTAAAGAAAAGAAGAATTGAAGCCATCAGGGGGCAAATCTTAAGCAAACTAAAGCTGACCAAAGCCCCCGAGGTGGAAAGCGAGGACATGACAGTTCCAGATGAAATCTTCTCCATTTACAACAGCACGGTGGAGACAATCAGGGAAAATGCAGAAAAAGAAGATCGATTAGGGCACATTCACAGTGAGGAGGAATATTATGGAAAAGAAGTGCAAAAGATACCGATGCACATCAATAGAAATGGTAAATGACCAAATACCTTCTATGTCAGGGGTAGGCAACCTTCGGCACTACAGATGTCAAAGCATTATGGGAGATGTAGTCCACAGCATCTGGAGTGGCGAAGGTTGCCTACCCCTGTTCTATGTCGCAATGCCTTACGATACAATAATAACATCAGCAGCTATGTTTTCAATTCGGCTGTTTTGACCTAACATTTGAAATTCACTTTTAATTCCTAAATTTGGTGAAAGACCTTTTCACGTTATAGATTCAAATACCCTTAATAATAAAAGAACAAGTACATATTATACGAACGATAGCTGGAATCCCACATATTTTTCATACTTGATGGGTTTTCCAGGTGTACGCAATCTAAATATTTCTATTTTGCTGCCAACTCTTGATTGGTGCAGAGAAATTCTTTAGTGATTGTACGGACTGCGGCAGGACACGGGCTAAATGTATACATATTGCGCTCATTTGCCTGCCGCCAGCACCTTGGCGCAATCATTCATAATATTTTCAGGATTTTAGACTTATTAAAGATCAGTTAAGCCAAATGGACATTTCATAACATTCAGGGTTTACATTTCAGCTTTTCTTTTTCTAATAATTATTTAAGAGGATTTAAATCTACCACCTCTGCTGGAAGGCCATAGCGGTTTGTTTTTATGAGACGGCACAGGTTAAACACTGTGTGTCAGTGGGTGCCAGGCTCTTCACACAGGGTGTGTGTCTTATAATTATGGGCCTCAATGTCTGTGTTTGTGTTTTGGGATCTAGATTTTGGGAGAGGAAGAGACTGGTGCCAGAAATAGGATGCATGGCAATAAAGGAGGAAGAAGGGTCAGACCAAAATACAATCTATTCAGAGCTACTCAGAGGGAAATTCCCCGGGGAGGGACAGGCACAGGGGGTGTTCAGGGCAAAAAAAGAAAATAATTCTTAAAGCTGCAGTAGGAATATGATCTAGTGATGTGGAGATTGCATCACTTAAATCTAGATTCATTGCTGTTACAGGACCCTCTCCCCTATACCCCTACTCCCTCCACTCCATTAACTACCCCTATCCCCTCCACTCCATTAACTACCCCCGCCCCTCCTCCCTTTTAACTACCCTGCCCCTCTACTCCATTAACTACCACTGCCCCCTCTTTTCTTTAACACCTCTGCTCCTCCACTTCATTAACTACCCCTGTCCACTCCACTCCATTAGCTCCCCCACCCCTCTACTCCATTAACTACCACTGCCCCCTCCTTCCTTTTAACCCCCTGCTCCTCCACTCCATTAGCTACCCCTGTCCACTCCACTTCATTAGCTACCCCTGTCCACTCCACTCCATTAACTATCCCTGTTCTTTTTTTTACCCTTTAACTACCTCTGTCCACTCTGCACTACCCCTTCCCCTTCATTAACTACCACTGCGCCCTCAGCTCCATTGACTACCCCTGCTGCTTCCTCCCCTTTAATTAGCCTTGCTCCCTCCCCTTTAATTACCCTTGCTCCCTCCGCTCCAATAACTATCCTTGCCCCCTGCACTCCATTAATTACCTCTGTCCCTCTGCTCCATTAATTACTACCTGCCCTACCCACTCCATTAACTACCCCGCTCCTTTGACTTTCCCTGCTGCCTTCTCCCCTTTAACTACCCTTGCTCCCTCCGCTCCATTAACTACCTCTGCCCCTCCATTAATTACCTCTGCACCCTCAGTTCCATTAATTACCTCTTCTGCTTCATTAACTACCCCTGCCACCTCCTCTAAATTTCTTTACCACTGCTCTCTACCCTAATTGCTCTGTTCATTATCACTGTCATTCAGCATGTGTGATTTCACTTAAGAAGCCATTGGAAGATCTATTCTGACCATCATTGAATATCAACCACGGGAAAGCTAAATAAGATATCTACTACCCTTCTATTACCATCCTGGAAAGGTTGTGTCAGTCAGACTAACAATCATATTACTGTCTTAGCTTTGAACTCTCTATTAACCATCCTTTCGATAACACAATGACCAGAACTGGACACACGGTCGAAGTAATGTCTTTCTGGGTTTTCTGTTAATTTGTAACATGCGTCTTCACATATTTATCATCTGATATAACCTGATGTCCGCATGATATTCTATAATTTAAACATCTTGTCACCCAACTCCACTGAGTCCATATCCAACACCCTGTGATCAGCTTACCATAAGGGGATCACTAACATGTTGAGTTTTTGACAATTTAAACTTTAAAGTGCTCTGTTATGGCTGGCATGACTTGGTGTGACTTTAATGATCATTCAATGCAATCTATACATGAACAGTCATTCTGGACCTTTATGCCACTGGGACAGTGATACAGGCGGCATCTAATATTTTATTAGCACTGAAAAAGCAATTACTGGCAGGATTTTATTGTTGTATTCACTCTCTGTGCCACTCTTTATCATCCATCCATCCACCCCTCCATTCATTCATTCATTCACCCATCCACCCACACATCATTCCATTCTTCCATTTACCCATTCATCAACCCACCTATCAATCCTTCCACCCCCTGCTCATTCACCGACCCATTATTCCATTCATCCATTCACCTACCTATTCATTAATTCATCCATCCATCCTTCAATTCATCCATTCTTCTGTCCATCCATCCATCCATCCATCCACCCATCCATTAATTCATTCAACAACCCACCTGTTCATCAATCCACTTATCTATCCTTCAATCCAACCATCCTTCCGTTCATCCACCCACTCATTCATCCATTCACCATCTATCCACCCACCTTTCAATTCATCAGTTCATCCATTCATCCACCATCTACCCATCCATCCACCCACTCGCACATCTATCCATCAGTTAATCCACTCATCCATCCATCCTTCTGTCAATTCATCCACTCATCCAACAACCCATTTGTTTATTAATCCACCCATAGTTCCTTCAATCCTTCCGTTCATCCACCCACCCACCCATCCTTCAATCCATCCATCCTTCTGTCAATTCATCCACCCATCCAACAACCCCTTTGTTTATTAATTCACCCATCGATCATTCAATCCTTCCGTTCACCCACCCACCCGTCAATCCATTAGTTAATTGATCCACCATCTATCCACTCATCCACCGACCCACCCATCAGTTCAGCCACACATCCATCCTTCTACCCGTCCATCCATTTGTCAATTTATCCACCCATTCAACAACCCACCTATTCATCAATCCACCCATCCATCCTTCCAGCATCCACCATCTATCCATCCATCTACCATCTGTCAGTTCATTCATCCACCCACCTGTCCATCTATCAATTCATCCACTCACCCATCCACCCTTCTACCCGTCCATCCATCCATCAATTCATCCACGAATTCAACAACCCACCTATTCATCAATCCACCCATCCATCCTTCAATCCATCCTTCTATCTACCCATTCATCTGCTCACCTATCCATCCATCCACCATCTATCCGCTCATCCATCCATCATCTATCCATCCATCTGCCCATCCATCCATCCGCCCATCCATCAATTCATCCACTCATCCATTCGGCCTGCGTACCCTCAACCTGCGTCCTGTGGATGTGCATTGGTTTTATATATATATATATGTGTGTGAGTGCTGATATTGTCTGTAACCTGCGGTAAGGTACGGTAAAGGGATGCTCCTTATTTATTTGGCTGTCTGTCTGAGCCCCGTAGCATGCATCCCACAGGACATTAGAATAAGGAAAGCTTGTTACTGGACGTCGAAATCTGCCCTCATTATAAACACTCTGCAGCTACCGTCTGGCACACACATGTAACATAATCCGTCTGGCACACACATGTAACATAACCCGACTCTGCCTAACTGAAAACACAGAACCCTTTCCTTTACAGAGTGACAATGAACAGTATTAACCCAGTGGATACTGTAAAGGTGAAGGATTTCCCTGGCACTTACCCCTTTAAAGGGTCCGATTTAGGACTCTGAATGGAGCTCCAAGTTCTGCAAACCTTATTAGATCTGTAAGGGTTAAACGCCTTAATCTGTTTGTTCTAATTAAATGACCTAACATATTTGAGGCTTGTTTGAACGAAACACTGGAACAATTAAGGAGAAATTCACTCAACTTGGCACCATGTTTTCATTCCACCTTAAAATGTTTAACCCTTTAACCATTGTCTTCATTAACCTGAAGTTTCTAGATAATTTGTTATGGACTGTGCTTGCGTGAAGACGTGGTGGTCAGACAGACTCAGCTAATTTACATCCCACGCAAACGTGACATGCGCGTCTGAAGAATGATAAACACTACCAAGGTTATTTACTAAAGAGAGAATTCCAATATAAGGCCAGAGTAGACAAACTGAAATAGATTACGGACAATTTTTTCAGTTGGACTATTTTGGTCTGAAATTTGAAATTCACTTTGAATTCTGACCTTAGTGAGTGTGTCCCTGTTAGTGCATCGAGAATTGACAGGAAGTCAAAGTGGGTTTTCAGTGCTAGCTGTATTTTAATTTCAGTAAAAATCACGTTGAAATTTGCAGTGTGCCGTCCCCGGCCACCATGTTTCACTCACTTTTAGCTGAGCAGCATCGGATGGTATATACACGGCCTGAACGGAGTGTACACCCCTGTATCAGGGATGTCGTGGCTTCATATCTTTATTATAATGTAAAAATTAACATAAATGTAAAAAGTTATAATTAAGAAAACAAGAGAAGCAAAAATTGTGATTAAAACATAAACGTTAGTAAAACTTGGTTGGTTCCAGTTTAGCATTTAAAAGATTATGTGATTTGTCTTAGCCAAAACCTTAAAACGGAGAGTTCTGATGGAAAGGGGAGCACGCTGAGTGTACAGACAGAAGATGTGACACAACAGAGAAGACTAACTTGTAGCCAATATTCAAAAAGAAGGACGCTATAGATGATTAGTAACAATTGTATTGTGCCTCCTTAAAAAATATTCAAGAAGATACCAAGTATCTTATAAATATCTGTCCTTAATTGTACCTTGGAAAGAACCAAATACTAAGACTGACAAGTATAAAACACAGCTAATCTGACCTGCGCTGATTCTGAACTGCCCTTTGGAGACCTACCAACTGGTGAAACGTATGTTGAAGCTCTCTTGACAGTCTTTTCTTTTGATGTTTTTGATTTTATGTATGCATAACTTTTTTTTTTATAACTGTACCTATGACTTGTGTAATACTGATAGTCTATATAGAAGGACTGGGTTTAGCACAGTTAAGACTAGCTCTGTTATATCGGACAATCAAATGTGTTATAAATATGAAATTTAAAAGAAAAGAGATCATCACATGAAATAATTTTTTTTTTTAAGTTTTCCTCAATGGTGTACATTTTAGAAAAGTAGTGTCCCCGGTGCTGGTGAGAGGTAGTGTCCCCGGGCGCAGGTGAGAGGTTGTGTACCCGGGCACTGGTCAGAGGTAGTGTCTCTGGCTGCTGGTGAGAGGTAGTGTCCCAGGACGCTGGTTGGAGGTAGTGTCCCAGGACGCTGGTTGGAGGTAGTGTCCCAGGATGCTAGTTGGAGATAGTGTCTCGGGGTGCTGGTTGGTGGTAGCATGTCTGGTTGCTGGTCGGTGGTAGTGTCTCTGGGTGCTTGTTGGAGATAGTGTCTCTGGGTGCTGGTTGGTGGTGGTGTCTCCAGTGCTGGTCGGAGATAGTGTCCCCGGGTGCTGGTCAGAGGTATTGGCACAGGTGAGAGGTAGTGTCTCTGGGTGCTGGTGAGAGGAAGTGTCTCTGGGTACTGGTTGAAGGTAGTATCTCTGGGCGCTGGTGAGAGGTAATGCCCCTGGGCGCAGGTGAGAGGTAGTATCTCTGGGTGCTTGTGGGGGGGTGAGGGGGGTTGTCCCTGGCTGCTGGTTGGAGATAGTGTCTCTGGGTGCTGGTCAGAGGTAGTGTCTCTGGGTGCTGGTCAGAGGTGGTGTCTCTGGGTGCTGGTGAGAGGTGGTGTCTCTGGGTGCTGGTGAGAGGTGGTGTCTCTGGGTGCTGGTGAGAGGTAGTGTCTCTGGGTGCTGGTGAGAGGTGGTGTCTCTGGGTGCTGGTGAGAGGTGGTGTCTCTGGGTGCTGGTTAGAGGTGGTGTCTCTGGGTGCTGGTGAGAGGTAGTGTCCCCAGGCGCAGGTGAGATGTAGTGTCTCTGGGTGCTGATGAGAGGTAGTGTCTCTGGGTGCTGGTTGGTGATAGTGTCTCTAGGTGCTTTCTGGAGGTAGTGTGCCTGGGCGCAGGTGAGAGGTAGTATCTCTGGGTGATGGTTGGAGGTAATGTCCCCGGGCGCAGGTAAGAGTTAATGTCTCTGGATGCTGGTAAGAGGTAGTGTCTCTGGATGCAGGTGAGAGTTAGTGTGCCTGGGCGCAGGTGAGAGGTGGTGTCTCTGGGTGGTGGTGAGAGGTAGTGTCCCCAGGCGCAAGTGAGAGGTAGTATCTCTGGGTGCTGGCTGGAGGTAATGTCCCCGGGCGCAGGTAAGAGGTAGTGTCTCTGGGTGCTGGTGAGAGGTAGTGTCTCTGGATGCTGGTGATAAGTAGTGTCCCCAGGCGCTGGTCAGAGATAGTATCCCCGGGTGCTGGTCAGAGATGGTGTCCCTGGGTGCTGGTCAGAGATAGTGAGAGGTGGTGTCTCTGGATGCTGGTGAGAGGTGGTGTCTCTGGGTGCTGGTGAGAGGTAGTGTCCCCAGGCGCAGGTGAGAGGTAGTATCTCTGGGTTCTGGTTGGAGGTAATGTCCCTGGGCGCAGGTAAGAGGTAGTGTCTCTGTATGCTGGTGATAGGTAGTGTCCCCAGGCGCTGGTCAGAGATAGTATCCCGGGGTGCTGGTCAGAGATGGTGTCCCAGGATGCTGGTCAGAGATGGTGTCCCTGAGTGCTGGTCAGAGATGGTGTCCCTGGATGCTGGTCAGAGATGGTGTTCCTGGGTGCTGGTCAGAGATAGTATCCCCGGGTGCTACTCAGAGATGGTGTCCCTGGGTGCTGGTCAGAGATAGTGTCCCTGGGTGCTGGTCGGAGATGGTGTCCTGTGTGCTGGTCAGAGATAGTGTCCCTGGGTACTGGTCAGAGATAGTATCCCCGGGTGCTACTCAGAAATAGTGTCCCTGGGTGCTGGTCAGAGATAGTATCCCTGGGTGCTACTCAGAGATTGTGTTCCTGGGTGCTGGTCAGAGATGGTGTCCCTGGGTGCTGGTCAGAGATGGTGTCCTGTGTGCTGGTCAGAGATAGTGTCCCTGGGTGCTGGTCAGAGATGGTATCCCCAGATGCTACTCAGAGATGGTGTCCCTGGGTGCTGGTCAGAGATGGTGTCCCTGGGTGCTGGTCAGAGATAGTATCCCCAGGTGCTGGTCAGAGATGGTGTCCCTGGGTGCTGGTCAGAGATAGTATCCCCGGGTGCTACTCAGAGATGGTGTCCCTGGGTGCTGGTCACAGATAGTGTCCCTGGGTGCTGGTCAGAGATGGTGTCCATGGGAACTTTGTTGTCCTCCTTCTGGTACTTGGGTAATATGGAATCTCGGCAGTGAAGGGACTGCTCTCTCAGCTGACACTCTCACTCTATCACCGGCCGTCCATGGTGAGTTAAACAATAAAACGTATGATCACTCGCGATGGATGGACACTGACTGGCAAAGAATTTTTCATTAATGTACAATTATTATATTAAAAATGCTCTGCAATTTCCAATCTGGGTTTAAGGATCTATTTCAACTTTTGGGAACTGATTTTACCATGAGGTTTACTCTTTAAACTATAAGTTTGTAGGAAGATGACAATAGAAGTTATGCACTTGTTACGCCGATTCCTGCGCCAGTTCTGAAGCATATAATATACTGTACCAAAGCCTTTCATCCTTCCAAGATCAATCACATGAGCAGCATTGAGTTGAGTAAGTGGAATATAACGAAGCGCATGGAAACTGTGAAAGCTGAATGCATCCGTCCGGATTACGTTCTCTGGTATTCTATTATTCCATCGCAAGTTCTAATGATTAATGGCCTGACAGGTCGACTTTATTTAAATGCCTGTCTGAGACTGTTAAAGCCCCAGCAAGCCAACAAAGATGGCGGCAGGCGTGGCTCTTTCCTGTTTTTACTCTCATTTAATTTTTTCCAAAAGGCATTTCTTAGATGAGGCCTAACTTACAAGATACAAAGGCCATATTTATCCACAATGTCCGTACTGATTTTCCTGTTAATGCAATTAAAACATTTGCATTAAGAATGTCACAATGTGAGGTTGTGCTAACACTATTTCAAAGTTTACAGAGTTCAGGATTATTAAGCATGTTCCGAAAACACCCTAAGAAATAGCTACACATTCTGCATTTACTGGAAAAATCTGAGCGTAACTCCAAAAAGCTTCAAATTTGATTTTCTAAGCCTGGATTCTGCAAAATGTATGAAATGATACGGCAAAATGAAATGTGTGATGAATACCAAGATAGCAGGATAGTGACAGCTATAAGTACATTTGGTTTATTACATATTTTCTCTCCTTCCTTTATTGCAGAGGACAATCGCCAACCAAATACCAAATACATCATTCCATTTAATGCATCACGCGTACGGGAGATTGTGCAGAACCCAATCCTGCTCCACCAGGCAGAGCTCCGTATGTTCAGAAAAAAGACTGATCAAATAAACGAAACTGTGGAAACTCGAGTGGAACTCTATAAGGTGAGTTGGTGGATGCAGTGGGATTATTCTTAGTTTGCATACAGGTTAATGTGCCATATTCGGGAATAGTAATGAGTGCGAGGCATAGTTTAGCGTTCAATGTGAGCTTTTAAACTCATCCAAGTAGACAGACTGAAAATGTAAGATACATTCTCAATTAATTATATAGCGCAAACATATTCCTCAGTGCTGTACAATAGGTAAACAAAACAAACAGTTAATTCTAAAAACATTTTAGGAAAACATGACTGACATACTGGAACAGTAGGTGCAGAGGGCCCTGCCCACGGGAGCTTACAATCTAAGATAGAAAGTGTCTAGTGATCACAGGCTCACCCAAGTAGTAAACATCTTTTACTTAAGGCACATTTGCCAACAACATCGTACGAGTCTTATGTGGTGCACAGGTCAGTAGAGAATGAGATGGGAAGATTTTTTTTATCCAATAGTAGCAGTTATGTATAATGCTCATTTTTTGTAAAAGGGTTTCATACTTCATTTTTGATATTTTAATAATTAAAACTACACTCTGAAAATCACAACAACCTTCAATAAAGGCACAAACAGGGCAAATTAGTCTAGAGACCTCTGGGACAGATAAGTTGTATCCGGGTGTTATTTTGGCCTATTTTTCCCTCAAACGTCCATGGGTTGGACTCAAAACTAGAGAGCCCAGTTAAATCAAATGGAAAAACAAACAATGAAGAGGTAGCGCAGCACCATCACTATTCATTTTTTGCAAAAACCCTCCTGAAGTGTTAAGTCCTGATACCAGACGGTTAGTGGGTAGAGAACACACTCACCTCATACTTTGCCTCCTTGTGTCACCATTGTCCTGTCTTCAGCTCTTGGCAGATGAGGCATCTAAAGGACACATTATGTTATCTTGCACATGGCATCACTTTATTTTCTTTCATTCAAAATTACAAAAAAGGAAGCTAAGTAAGACTGCAGGATCCTTTATAGATCTTCTACAACACCGTCTCTGTCATTCATCACGAGGAAACTGATCAATGATCCTGAGAAAAATGGTTACCCTACTTGGTCTTAAGATATTTCTTGATTGTCCTGGAATTTCATTGCAATTCAAAACAATAAATAAAATTGTTCATAAAGATTCTATCATTAAAATCTGCTATCTATACCCCTTAGTTCTATGTATACCATTCCAGTCTGACCCTTACCATTGTAGTGCTATCTATACCTTCCCAGTTCTATGTATACCATTCCAGTCTTATCCGTACTATTGTAGTGATATATATACCCTCCCAGTTCTATGTATACCATTTCCATTTTACTTGTACCACTGTAGTGCTATGTATACCCACCCAGTTTCACCTATAGCCTTTATTTAATGTTAATTTATTCTTAGATTGGGCATTTTGTAGTTTCATTGATTCTTGTGACGGCTATTCAAAAGATCCATTTCTTCCTCCGGCAGGTTCTACAGCAGAGAAACAAGTCCTCTCGGTACTTGGACAGTAAGTTTGTGTGGCCTGGAAAACTCTCAGAGTGGCTCTCATTTGATGTGACAGAAACTGTGAAGGAATGGATAAACGATAAAGGTAAGCTCCAGCAATGCAGTCTGGTGCTCTGTGTATCTGGGTTGATAGCATGCCAGTGCTGACAGTTCACCTCTAGAGTTATTTCTATAACTCTGGAACTGTCCAGACCTGACAATTATTCCTGGAGACATGCTCGAGCCGGAATCTCCCAGAGATAACGTCATTAAATGGATTTGGAATGGTGAGCTACTTGGACAGTGAGTTGGTGGAGTACTGATTAATAACGCGGTATGGGCTTGGAGTAGGGTCTGGTGAGGCTGTTGGGTGGAGTCTGAATGGAAAATATAGATTCTGTACATACAATGGCTAAAAGATAGGCAGGGTGGAATTGGGCCAAGATGTGGAAATGTAAAGATTGTTGAACGCACAGAGTATGGATCAGATGGGAAGGAATCAGAGAGTCAGATAGATCTTCAAATTGGTTGGCTGTGGCATGGATGGAGTAGGGGAGGGCTCAGTGTGGAGTGAATGGGGTTTGGTTGGTAAATGTGGAATCTGGATATACAGTGACTGTGGAATGGATGGAGTGTGAGTTCGGGAGGGCTCAGCGTGCAGTGAATGGGGTTTGGTTGGTAAATGTGGAATCTGGATATACAGTGACTGTGGAATGGATGGAGTGTGAGTTCGGGAGGGCTCAGCGTGCAGTGAATGGGGTTTGGTTGGTAAATGTGGAATCTGGATATACAGTGACTGTGGAATGGATGGAGTGTGAGTTCGGGAGGGCTCAGCGTGCAGTGAATGGGGTTTGGTTGGTAAATGTGGAATCTGGATATACAGTGACTGTGGAATGGATGGAGTGTGAGTTCGGGAGGGCTCAGCGTGCAGTGAATGGGGTTTGGTTGGTAAATGTGGAATCTGGATATACAGTGACTGTGGAATGGATGGAGTGTGAGTTCGGGAGGGCTCAGCGTGCAGTGAATGGGGTTTGATGGGTAAATGTGGAATCTGGATATACAGTGACTGTGGAATGGATGGAGAGCACAGGTTACTTTTTCTTGAATAAAAAAATCTGAATTAACCTGGCATTGTCATAATGACTTTTTTCCTTCCGGTTTCCGCAGAGGAGTACGAACACTTCAGATTACGTGTGGCTTGTCCATGTGAGGAAAATGTCAACAATATAATACCCGACATTGACGGTGGGTGTTGTATGTTGATACCATATTACTCTACAGGCGGTCGAAGAAACCCGATTCTATGTATCTATAAATAAAACACTTCTGGCAATTTGGAGGATTTGATTTAGTAAAATGACTATAATGGAGCCCCGAATTAGGCTATTTCACTATGTCCACTCTTAATGCAACATTTTAAAGCATAGGCTAGGTAACGTTTTAACCATAGCATATATCAGGAAAGTACCTTTTATGCCAAATCCTTTGATTACATAGTTCATCCTTCTTCAAAGCGGATAGAGAATGCTGACAAAACCATTTTCTTATGATCTTCTCAAATACTCTAGTGTTAAAGGAACAGTCCAGCAATATCAACAAGTGTTGTAGTGTATTTAGATTGGAAAGAGGTAAGAGGCTATTTACCTGTAATCCACCATCCCCCGGAGAACATCATCAGTGATGACATCATCAGTGATTATATCGCGGCCAATCCAGTGCTTCATTGCTGCATGCGCGAGAGCACAGTATTGAGGTCTGTGGAGGAACCCACAAGAAAGCAGGCTCCTCCATAGATAAAGCCAATTCCCTGCAACTGTCACTGGTGACGGCTGGGGGATTGACACTTCTAGGCGGCTGTAATTCCGCCCCAGAGGCTAGAAGTGTTAGGAAAATATAATTAGAGACAAAGTAGTCTCTACTTTTCTTGACTGAGTTGGAATTTCAGTAAGATTCAATGCCGCTTTAAATGTACTTTTCTTTAAAAAAATCTTTCTCACTAGTTTTAAAACTAGAAACAGAAACCTCATTTGCAATGTGTGCCCTGACTGTGCCAGGACTGAACTGGATTATGACTGACAGTAACAGAGAATGGCAGAAATTAAGGCTTTGTACCAGAGGCACCAGGAATGTTTGATACAATTGCTAGAATTAAACATTATTTTGTAGCTAAACTTCTGCTCCCCTTTATGGGACCTTTCTCCCCATCCCAGGATTTATCGACCAGCGTGGAGATATGAAAGACCTAATGATGGGGTCATCATACTTTCCTTATCTACTCATTACATACATCCCTGCAGAACGAATGGAGACTGGGCACAGCTCAAGGAGGAAGAGGGCATTGGATGAAGAATACTGTCGCTCGTGAGTCTTATATGTAGAAATAAACTCACGGAGATATTAACTCATACAGCTATATAAAAAGCCAACAATTTCCGAGTTTTTCAAGAAGGAACATAGCTGGTGGTGAATAATATATGGGTATACCTGGTATGAGTGTTAGGTTGGTATTCCTGGCAGGGCGAGTAGGGGTGATAGAGGTAATAAAGCCAGTAGGGGTGGTAGAAGTGATAAGGTCAGTAGGGGTGGTAGAGGTGGGGTGATAGGGCTGCTGGGGTATGGGCTCGGTATGGGGGTATGGGCCGTAAGGCTGATGGGGCTGGTATGGGTAATGGGCCAGTATGGATGATAGTCCAGGAATGGGTGTTGATATTCTTGGTTGGGTTGTGGGACTGTTAAGGTTGGTGGGGCTGGTGGGTTGGCAACCTAGTGATGACTTCAACATTTGTTTGTTGCAGAAATACTGGTTCAAACTGCTGTGTAAAACCTCTGTTCATCAACTTCCGTAAGGACCTGGGCTGGAAATGGATTCATGAACCTAAAGGATACAATGCCAACTATTGTCTAGGAAACTGCCCTTTTATCTGGGGCATGGACACGCAATACAGCAAGGTGGGAGACTGTGCATTATCGAGGCCATGACCCCTCTATAGGGGTTAACATGATTGACCATAACGTAAGATAATGAGCTTTGGGAAGATGATAATGCACCAACCAACTCCGAGCACCATTACGGTTCTGGTGCCAGGAGTGCGCTACTGTCATCCAGGGATAATCTGCAAAAAGGTTTGACAGGTGCCTGTGCCCACTTACTCTGGGCAATGGCCATACCCAATATAGCAGGCTTGATTAGTGTGTTCCTTAAGTATATAAGGAAGCTATGGGACACAGAGTTTGTCCCTCCCACTGCAGGGTGACACAGACAGAAGGGAGCTATGGGACACGGAGTCTGTCCCTCCCACTGCAGGGTGACACAGACAGAAAGAGCTATGGGACACGGAGTCTGTCCCTCCCACTGCAGGATGACACAGACAGAAGGAGCTATGGGACACGGAGTCTGTCCCTCCCACTGCAGGGTGACACAGACAGAAGGAGCTATGGGACACGGAGTCTATTCCTCCCACTGCAGGGTGACACAGACAGAAGGAGCTATGGGACACACAGTCTGTCCCTCCCACTGCAGGGTGACACAGACAGGGTGTAGTTGTGTACTTTTGTGTTAGTATTTGTGGTGTACTGATGCAGGTGTGTGTGTATCTCTTGCAGGTACTCTCCCTCTATAACCAAAACAATCCCGAAGCCTCTATATCTCCATGCTGTGTTCCCGATGTGCTGGATCCTCTCCCCATTATATATTACTATGGCCGTCAAGCCAGGGTTGAGAAACTGTCAAACATGGTGGTAAAGTCCTGTCAATGCAGCTGAGGTTTACAGATTGGACTGAAAGGAATGAAATGATTCCCCTTTGGGCAGTGCAGCTGCCGCGGCTGGGGAAAGATCGTTATACCCCCCATTGTGCATTAGTTCCTTCATCCAAGGGGATTCACATTCACAGAGCCATTGTATCCCCGTTGTTTATAAATCCTCCCTGATATCTGCAACGAGTGTACGGAGTATGGAGCCCCAACTACTGCACCCCTCCACCCCCGCTCCAGGAAGTAAAACAAGATGCTGTATCACCTCTGAAATCTACAGTGTTTTTAGAACTCTACTTCCTGCAAAGTTCAATTTTAATCCATATCCTCTGCACGGCTCTCCAGGAAATTCAAGGGGCGGAAGTCTGTGCTTCAAAACTGTTATCTGTAGACAGAAAGAGCAAATATGCAATTAGCTTGTCACAAAACATCTACCCATCTACACAGCATATACCCCGCCACAAAGCAACTACCAATCTACACAGCATATACCCCTCCACAAAGCAACTACCCATCTACACAGCATATACCCCTCCACAAAGCAACTACCCATCGACACAGCATATACCCCTCCACAAAGCAACTACCCATATACACAGCATATACCCCGCCACAAAGCAACTACCAATCTACACAGCATATACCCCTCCACAAAGCAACTACCCATCTACGCAGCATATACCCCTTCACAAAGCAACTACCCATCGACACAGCATATACCCCTCCACAAAGCAACTACCCATCTACACAGCATATACCCCGCCACAAAGCAACTACCAATCTACACAGCATATACCCCTCCACAAAGCAACTACCCATATACACAGCATATACCCCTCCACAAAGCAACTACCAATCTACACAGCATATACCCCTCCACAAAGCAACTACCAATCTACACAGCATATACCCCTCCACAAAGCAACTACCAATCGACACAGCATATACCCCTCCACAAAGCAACTACCCATCTACACAGCATATTCCCCTCCACAAAGCAACTACCCATCTACACAGCATATACCCCTCCACAAAGCAACTACCCATCGACACAGCATATACCCCTCCACAAAGCAACTACCAGTCGACACAGCATATACCCCTCCACAAAGCATATACCCCTCCACAAAGCAACTACCCATCGACACAGCATATACCCCTCCACAAAGCAACTACCAATCTACACAGCATATACCCCTCTACAAAGCAACTACCCATCTACACAGCATATACCTCTCCACAAAGCAACTACCCATCTACACAGCATATACCCTCCACAAAGCAACTACCCATCTACACAGCATATACCCCTCCACAAAGCAACTACCAATCGACACAGCATATACCCCTCCACAAAGCAACTACCAATCTACACAGCATATACCCCTCTACAAAGCAACTACCAATCTACACAGCATATACCACTCCACAAAGCAACTACCAATCTACACAGCATATACCCCTCCACAAAGCAACTACCCATCTACACAGCATATACCCCTCCACAAAGCAACTACCCATCTACACAGCATATACCCCTCCACAAAGCAACTACCAATCTACACAGCATATACCCCTCCACAAAGCAACTACCAATCTACACAGCATATACCCCTCCACAAAGCAACTACCCATCTACACAGCATATACCCCTCCACAAAGCAACTACCAATCTACACAGCATATACCCCTCCACAAAGCAACTACCCATCTACACAGCATATACCCCTCCACAAAGCAACTACCCATCTACACAGCATATACCCCTCCGCAAAGCAACTACCCATCTACACAGCATATACCCATCCACAAAGCAACTACCAATCTACACAGCATATACCCCTCACAAAGCAACTACCAATCTACACAGCATATACCCCTCCACAAAGCAACTACCCATCGACACAGCATATACCCCTCCACAAAGCAACTACCCATCGACATAGCATATACACAAAGCAACTACCCATCTACACAGCATATACTCCACAAAGCAACTACCAATCTACACAGCATATACCCCTCCACAAAGCAACTACCCATCTACACAGCATATACCCCTCCACAAAGCAACTACCCATCTACACAGCATATACCCCTCCACAAAGCAACTACCCATCTACACAGCATATACCCCTCCACAAAGCAACTACCCATCTACACAGCATATACCCCTCCACAAAGCAACTACCCATCTACACAGCATATACCCCTCCACAAAGCAACTACCCATCTACACAGCATATACCCCTCCACAAAGCAACTACCGATCTACACAGCATATACCCCTCCACAAAGCAACTACCGATCTACACAGCATATACCCCTCCACAAAGCAACTACCAATCTACACAGCATATACCCCTCCACAAAGCAACTACCCATCTACACAGCATATACCCCTCCACAAAGCAACTACCCATCTACACAGCATATACCCCTCCACAAAGCAACTACCCATCTACACAGCATATACCCCTCCACAAAGCAACTACCCATCTACACAGCATATACCCCTCCACAAAGCAACTACCCATCTACACAGCATATACCCCTCCACAAAGCAACTACCAATCTACACAGCATATACCCCTCCACAAAGCAACTACCCATCTACACAGCATATACCCCTCTATAAAGCAGTAACTCAGTCTACACACCACAACTACGCAGCTTGCTCAAAGCAGATAGTAGATAACTCCAAATATAGTACCAGGAAGATATGAGCACAGATGGAGAAATCATGAATACATTGAATTATTGTCTTTCATTTCCTGAGTTCCACCATAATTACATTACACTGTAGATGCACAGTGGGCCTGGAGAATTGCACTTCACTTCTGGTATACAAAGGGTTAAGTTGCCCAAATTTACCTGATGTTGCGCAGACAATTTTGTCTAATCTGAATGGGGTACAATAACGGACTTGCAGGGACACAGGAAATTCTCCAAAAACAGGAAACTGGAATAAAATTGGATTTCCCAGAAAAAGACAAAATACTTGGAGCTCCAAAGATGACAACGGCCTCATTAATCGTCATTGAGCTGGGAAATGGTTAATCATGTCTATTTTCAAAAAGCAAACTGTTTGTGATTTTGCATTGTGTTTTCTTATATTCATATCTATAGGGTTTTTTCTTATTTAAAATGCGGAGGATGTAAGGAGGAGAAATTAAAATGAGCGGTACTGTAATTTGTGTTTGTGTGAGATTTCCGTAAACCACAGCTGATGCACAATTTGGAGATTTAATCAGGAAATACTAATTAATAAATACCTAATAATATTAACACCTATGAGTACCAATACTACTAATACCACCAATACTACTACTAATAATAACAGTCCAGCTGTGAAGGGGGTGAATTTTTTCAGTTTGACTGTTTGTGTACGTCACCATGTCGTATCTTCACTACTACGCCATGTATACTATGACATCATGCCATGGATAAAGTACTACACCGTGCCATGTATTCACAGCACAGGTACAGCGCAAACAGCGGCAGTGCCAGCCTCCCCTTCACACACTACTACACCATGCAATGTATACACAGGTACAGCGCAAACAGCGGCAGTGCCAGTCTCCCCCTCACACACTACTACACCATGCAATGTATACACAGCACAGGTACAGCACAAACAGCGGCAGTGCCAGCCTCCCCCTCAGACACTACTACGCCATGCAATGTATACACAGCACAGGTACAGCGCAAACAGCGGCAGTGCCAGTCTCCCCCTCACACACTACTACACCATGCAATGTATACACAGCACAGGTATAGCGCAAACAGCGGCAGTGCCAGTTTCCCCCTCACACACTACTACACCATGCCATGTATACACAGCACAGGTACAGCTCAGAGAGTGGCAGTGCCAGCCTCCCCCCACACACTACAACACCATGCCATGTTTTCACAGCACAAGTGCAACGCAGACAGCAGCAGTGCCAGCCTCCCCCCACACACTACTACACCATGCAATGTATACACAGCACAGGTACAGATCAGAGACGCTATATGTAACGGCAGAATGACGCTATATGTAACGGCAGGCAATGCTATATGTAACGGCAGGATGGGGCTATATGTAACGGCAGGATGACGCTATATGTAACGACAGGATGAACACTATATGTAAGGGCAGGCAATGCTATATGTAACGGCAGGATGATGCTATATGTAACGGCAGGATGACACTATATGTAACGACAGGATGACGCTATATGTATCGGAAAAATGATACTATATGTAAGGGCAGGCAACGCTATATGTAAGGGCAGAATGAACGCTATATGTAAGGGCAGAATGAACGCTATATGTAAGAGCAGAATGAACGCTCTATGTAAGGGCAGGATGACGCTCTATGTAAGGGCAGAATGACCCTATATGTAACGGCAGGATGGCGCTCTATGTAACGGCAGAATTACCCTATATGTAAGGGCAGAATAACCCTATATGTAACGGCAGGATGGCGCTATGTGTAACGGCAGGATGGCGCTATGTGTAACGGCAGGATGGCGCTATGTGTAACGGCAGGATGATGTTATATGTTACTTTACAATAACATTATTTGTTTCAGTAGAATTCAATGTGCAGAGCGTAGGAACAAAAACAGATCTGCTTAGGTCACAAGAGACGTCTGACACTTGTAGAGGATTTATACAATATCCCAAATTTTCTGTTTGCTTTTGAACTGAGAGCTTTTTGTAATTCATATATATATATGTTTTTTGTCCTTGTAATACGTTGTTTGTGAAAGTATAAGGAAATCGTGTCCTCCCAGTGTGGAATCCATTCATTATTTATGGTTTTCATAATAAATGTCAGATTGACGTGATTTTACATGCTGCCCTGTCCTTGCACATGGCACAGTACTGACACAATTGGAATCCTGCAAACTTGCAAATCGCCGTGTACACTTAGGGAGAGGAGGTTGTTTTCTTGGGAACCAGGAGGACGTTGGCTTTTTGTGACAATGAATCTGGGTGTCATGGCATTGCTTGGCGCCGGACGCATTATTTGTGCGCTGTGATAACTTTCAACAGTTTGGGAATTGCCGACAACTGTCAACATAATTGTAAAGTTTAAAGAAAGCAGAGGAACTGGAAAGAAATCCGTTACTTGGGTATGTTTCCAGCTCTGGAGAATAAACCCCACGCAAAACCTAAACTGTCGCAGCTGGTGGATCTTCTAGTAAATGCGGGCGGTAACTACAGGGCGACAGGCTTTGCATTCGCTGTGATCTGCATTTCATGAATAAATGAAATAATTTTCCTGAGGGCAGATCCAGCGTGTGATATGTTACCCCACACGTTATCGGTCCTTGGAATTCCCAGAGTACAAAGCTTGCCAGATCAAATGGTGCCCGGCCTGAATGCCACCGGCCCTGCGCCCGCGCTGACAGATACCATTCTTCAAACAGCTGCTC